GTTGTCTAACATTCAGAATTATTACTACCGAATTTTACTGATAGGTTTTTTTTTAGTTGACATAATCTGTCTGATAAATAAAATAAACTAGTGTTTAAATTATATGCATTTCTCTTAATGTTTCATTGAAAGTGAGATAGAAATATAAATGCTATCCAGAAAAGTGAATTCTTTTTGCCTGAAATAACAAACTGTACTAAATGATTAATGTTTATCTCATTTTAGAAATGCCAATATTAAAGTTTCTCCTCCTCCTCCTCTTGGATTTTGAAATAATTTATAATAAAATAATATGTGCATAAGTGTAATTAATGTAAAGTGTCATTCAATAATATAATTTATTTTTACTGATATTTTTATATTTCTTATCTGGGTTTTCTTTTGGTGTTAGAAAGAGGAAAAGACTGTAATGTTTTAATTAAGAAAATAATTAAAACATTACAGTCTTTTAAATAACACAATTACAGTAATGTTTATTGAAGCAATCAGGACTGTGTGATCGGCAGTGATTGAATAATGTTAAAATGCATTGTTCATAAGGAAATTTGCTTATCTTTGTGTTGTAGTTTTTGTTTTGACACAAGCTGAAATTTGAATTACTTCCTGAATCATTAATCAGGCCAATATATATAACATACAAATTTTCATACAAAATTATTTCTTTGAGCATATTATAAAGAGCTCATTAATTTTATTATTTGTACAAATTTTAGACAAAAGTAGCATGCAACAGTTCAAGATTTATTGAAGCCTACTTGTTACTTGTGGTAACAAAGAAGTGCGAAAGATATTGTCACATTAGCGAACATGATGATCACTGATGCTTAGTTTAGTAATTTAATAATATACTGAAAAATGCTGGGAACTTTCAGAAATGGACATTTCGGAAATGATGGGCTTCATAAGAAATTTACATGGTTTTATTATTTACTTTTTAGTTAAGAATGGATTTTAGATGTTCATGTGAAAGAATTCTGTTTAATTATATGTGAAAGAATTGTTATAAGTTTGGAATTTAAAAAAATGAATTAATAGTATGCAATTATCTTTTTATTATACATATATTACTATATATTTCTAATGCACTATGTAAATGTCAGTGATAAACAATTGAGATACTATTGTCAGGAAATCATTTCTTATACATGAAAAATTCTGATACTTTCTGATCATCTGCTGTCACAGCTTCAACTTAAGCTAAAACTGCAAGAGTATGTACACAATAATAGCAAACTATGAATATGCATACCACACACATGTATTTACATGCTTTATATTTAATCTTTATTTCTGAATAGTATTTCGTTGGATGAAAAATATGTGAGTATTGACCCAATATATATATTTTTGTGTGTGTGCATCCTAAAATTTGTTTCTTTTAAAGTGCTTATTTGAATTACTACTTGTGAACAGAGCAGTAGATATGAACCATAAACTTAACCATTCTAAACAATTTTGCACAGCTTTTCACAGATAGGCAGAAAGCACCAAAATTTGTAATAATGTTAAGTTTAAATGATATTCTATATTTTTGTATTAATTTTTCTATTCTATTTTGTTATTTCTATTATTGTGCTATCAAATTTTCTTGTAGGGATTTCAACTGGTTAAGTACGTTAGTCATCATGTGGAAAAGAAGCTTAAAAAACAATTTTTTTAAGCGTTTTCAAGCTTGAAAAAAACTTGCAGCTGAAGGATTTCATGTAGAAAGGTCAGTCAAAACTGGTTTTACTTAATTATAATTTAATTTTGGGTGAAGAATTCCTCAAATTTATTTATCAGAAGTGTCTAAAAGTCTTCTAAATTAAACGTTGCTTGTTTTTGAAATTTTTCATGACATTCATTCTTTGATGATGATGATTATTATTTTTTTTAATTTACTAACTTATGTCCAGGCACATAATGTTGCATTTAATGCCATACCTTAAATATTGTAAAATGTTAAAATAATACATTTCACTTAAAAATGTGGTTGTGACAATAAATTTTCTGTTACATTTAATCATATCTATAAACAATAGTATACATCATTTTTCAATAATCTATATATTATTTTGTGCATTTCTTTTACAACCAAGATTTGGCATATAACTTGCTTTGTAAAATAATTTAATTATGAATAATTCAATTTGGAGGCTATTGGATGTTTAAAAATGATTGAAAGATTTTTAATATCTTAAAAATAAAAGCAAAATTTTCAGTTTTAATATTTTGTATTAATAATTCATTTTAATTTCCTTGCTCAGTTTTAATATAGTCACAAATTCAGATTTAAAAACAAAATATGTTGTATAAATATTTCCATAGTAACCATAGGAGAAGGATTTGAGACTATCTGTGTAAAATAAGTAGGTTTTAGATCATCACAACACCTTCACATACTTTCACTGGAAGTTTCCTCTGTATATATACTGGGATGTGACACTAAGCAGTTGAGAGTATGTATTTAAGAGGTTAACGGGATATTGTAACTAGTATTTCAAATCCTGATAACATCCCATACACTGTCGGTGGGACCTAGATAGGATGTCCTAAGGATATACTGGGATATGACATTAAGCATTCAGGAAGATGAGTTTAGGAAGAAACTGGGGATATTACGGGATGTCCTGAGGATATAGTAAGTAGGACTTTAAATCCTAATAACATACCACACGCTGTCGATGGGACATAGATAGGATGTTTTTAGGATATAATATGATGTGTTTAGGATGTTAGTGGGATATCCCAGGATGTCCTGAGGATGTAGTAAGTAGGAGTTCATATCCTAATAACATCCCGCATGCTGTCAATGGGACTTAGTTAGGATGTCCTGAGGATATCCTGGGATGTGACATTAAGCACTTGGGAGGAGGTGTTTAGGAAGTTCGCGGGATATTCCGGGATGTGTGCATATTCCGTGAGCAACATCATCCGGATATCCCAAGGATGTTTTTGTGCTATGTGGGATATTTCAAATGTACATATGTTTTAGAGTTAAAATATACAACAATTTTTTGTAAAAGAGTTTTTTTTTTCAATATAGAATTAGATCATAGAAAAAGGTTGTCAGAATATTGAAATTGAAGAATAATGATATAAAAGGAAAAATTTGAAAATTAATATTGGTAAAATTATGATTTATTTTATAAAATACAAAGGTAAAACATATATATTATATATATCAATTTTTTTCAATCAATGAAAACATATATATCAATTTTGCACCACTATCGAACGTTTACAATAGAAACTGAATTTTCAGATTCATCACTATCTGCTAAGCAATCCAAGAAATTCTCATCAGTTTTGCTATAACTATCTTCAACATACTTGAAATCAGAGTCAGAACTACTATCAGTGTCAGAAATATCGTCAGGAATACAGGTTATATCACTCACAAAATGCTTCCTGCCAGACATCTTTGAACTCTGAAAAGCGCGTGCGAAATGCTACATTACGTATTCTTGTATATTTGGCAGAAATGTGGACAACTAACGCCATCTGTTAGCCCACATCTAAATAAACAATAACACAACACAGAAAAGCCAAAAAGAAATCTGGAATGGGGAAAGAGCGGGTTGCACAGTTAAATAGACGGCAAAAATTCATCCCTGTAGAAATCGCAGGTTGCACAAATTTTGCTATTTCTACATTGCCCATGGAAATCGCGGGATACGCAGCGAGAGGGTTAAATAATGTAAACAAATTCTACTTGAAAAGGGGTATTTTTTCTTAATGCCCATGACCAAGCTGATCCTGCTCTTGAAAAGTAATGTCTTTGTGTTTCAGACAATTAAAAATCACAGAAATTAATAAATTTTACAGAATACAGATGATGAATCTCTACGGAGAATTCAGTTATCCTAGCATTATTCATGTGGGCAGTAATTATTACTGAAAAACGACATACAAAGAAAAACTTTAATAAAGTTCATTTAAGTAATGAAAAGATTTTTAAGACAATTTTAGCAATTAATTTTTACTTTTATGAAAGCCTGGATATTAGTCTGGACTATATTCATCAAAAATTAAATTAGCAAAGATGATGATTTGGAAAATGCTGAATATTAGTATAAAATTACTGAAGTTAGCATACTATTTCAAACTGACTCATTTTGCCAGAATGAAACAGATGACAAATATGTCTGTTTCATCAGAATATGTCAACTTTTTCAATAATGAATTTTTAAATTATAATTAACAATGAATTTTTAAATTATAACTGTACTGAAATAAATTACTATGCTATAGGAAATATGCATTCAAGAATTAACAACCTTTACACACACACTATCATTTATTTGAAATTATTGCAAGCAAACTTTTCAGCAGAAATTATTATGAAAAATGTATTAAGGTTACTATACACAGTATTTGCTAAAAACTCACTTTTAAATGGAGTTAACATCTAACAATTTGTGGTGCTGCTATTCAAGAAAACAAGTAAGGGGGAAATAGGCTGCATTTTCAAATAGTGCTACAGTGGGATATTGGGCATAATGAGGCACCAATGGCAGTTGATTTGGGTAACCTTCAAAGAATTAACTGAATAAACAATGCAGATACAATCATTTAATTTTTCCATAAAAAATCAGTTAGAAATCAGAAGACAAACAAGAAACAATTTTCCTCCACTGCTTTTCATATCACTTCATTAGATCTGATGAGAACTTTTAGACCATACTTTCTTTGATAATTTATGTTACATTAATAATAATATAAGCAAAAGGATTTTTTTTTCAGTCTGCAGTTAATCTTTTATAATGTCAGTAGTTTTATAATATAACTATAATGTAGTTATTCTTTAACCATATTCTATGTTAAAGAGAAAAATGCGTAGTACACATTTTTCTCTTTAATATAGGACATTGCTTTAATAATATAATCATTTAGAAAATATTTTTGCAAATATTCTTACTTTATACTATAATCATACAATGTAAATTTTGTAATAAATCTGATCTACAGTTATATATATATATATTATATACATATATAAATACTAATTCAAGACCTACTTTCATATTTGAAACCCAGTCTCTGTACTGATTTCTTAAGCGAAAACTAGTTTTATCTTCATGCGCGGTTAACTCAAATTCAAATTCATCACTTACACCTCGGCCAGCATTCAATTTCTTCAACCTACTCTCTATAAACTGCAAAAAATGATTAAAAGTTATAAGGGGAAAAGGGAAAAAAAATTACAGTGTTATGAAATAGCATTACTATAGTATGCTTAAATAGCTTATCAGATCATTTAATTTCATTACAGATTAGTGTAAAGATGATTTAATTTTTTAAATTTTTTATTTTTAGGATTTCTCTCTCTAAAACTATTCTATTCATAAAATACAAGTATTGTTTAGTATTAAAATACGATATGAATTACAAAACATGCAATATAATAAATAAAATAAATAATGCAAAAATTAAATTTAAAACTTTACATATTTGTTCGTAATAAAAAAGCTTCATTTTTTTACATAAATAATTTTTACATTTTCATACTTATATTATGATACTAATTTTCTGAACGGTATTAACAATGAACAGTTAAATTCTTTTCCCAAGCAAAACTGCTGAATTCTCATTCTTGCATCTTGCTCTCAGTTCTTCATATATGAAGGTAAAAATTATGAAATGTATTCTTCTTTAGAGGAGAGAAAACTTTCTTAGTAGTTCATTTACGAAACTTAAGCAAATCAGACATTCAATTTTAAGTTAAAAAATACGAGGGCCATCCAGGAAGTAGATTACGTTTCCGTCTGTGTCCGCTAGGGGCGGGGCTAGCGCGGCCATCTTGGGGTCAGAGCGTTGCGCAGCTCAGTCTGCATCTAGCCGTGCTAGTGAGAGGTTCGTGCTGTGCTCCGTTCAGATACTGTGACGGTTTGTTGAAATGTCTGCGTTAATTGAAAATCCCGCGAGCTGCGAGGTGCGCTCAGTAATAAGGTTTCTGACTGCAAAAAACTGTAAACCGATAGAAAAATCTATCGGCAGCTTCGTGAAGTGTATGGGGGACAACATTATCACTGAAGGTGGAGTGCGTCAGTGGGTCATAAGATTTCAAAATGGCCGAACCAATGTTCACGACGAAGATCGAAGTGGGAGACCCAGCATAGTGACCGCCCAACCAAACTTCTCGAAAAAAGTCGATGCTAAAGTCCGTGAAAATCGAAAATTTCACAATAACGGAACTTTCTTTGAGTTTTCCACAAATTTCGCGAAGTTTGTTGCACGAAATCATCAGCGAAAAGCAAGAAGAGGTAACGAAGTGTTTGAAGGCGCAGGCGGCCGAATTTTTCGACGAAGGAATTTCCAAGCTCGTACATCGCTACGATAAATGCCTTAATTTGTATGGTGACTATGTAGAAAAGTAGTATTTGAGTGTGGCTTTCATCTGTATATAATAAAATTTGTTTCCTATACTTTGTTTATTTTTTTATTCCAAAACGTAATCTACTTTCTGGATAGCCCTCGTACATAAGTAGGTGAATCACTATCAGACTGAAATTTTCATTTAACTGTACTGATTTACAACTAATATGAAGCCAATAGCCATTATTGGGTTTTCTTTAATTAAAAATATAATAGTCTGACTTATGAAGCAGGCATATCATCTGCAAAAGCTTTGATTTTGTTGCAATTGTAATATTGTTTACCACATATAACATCATTATTTTACCTCTCATTTTAATACTATGCATGCCATTTAATTAACTTCATAAAACAGGTGAGGCATTCTAATTACAGCTACAAATACAAGCTATAAGCTTTACCATACTACAGAACTTTTGAAGAAGCCCGTTGAACAGTTTTTTACATAATGCTAGGTTGCCAATTATATAACCATGATACGGTTATGCAAATATGCATAACCGTATCATGAGTATGCATGTATATATGATCATGAATATGCAATATATATGCATGAATGCAAAATTTTATCACACTCTGCCCTTATACTGAGCCTGATAAGCAGTTATATACAATTCAATGCAAGCAGCATCTTTTGATTAGAGGTCAACTTCTGTCAAACTTTCTCAACTGTTGACCTAATTCACAGAACTATAAACATTTCATTAGTAAATGCTGCTTTCTAAGGCCCTCTTAAGCAAATCTTCTAGAATGCAAGACTGAAATGATTACATCTTTCTACCACAATACCTAAAGATTGAAAAAACATTACAGTAAGCATTATAAGATAATTGTAATTTATTCGCATTGAAGGATCCAATCTCTGATCGCTATTATTAGCTTTAGTGGATTACATCAATGAATTTAATTTGATTTATAAACTTGCATTTACTTTTCTGGAATATGCTTTACACTATGAGAATGAGAGCAGTTATTATGATATTAAATTAGTTCCCTTTTTTTTTCCAAATAGAGATTTTCAGCTGTCTGTTTATATCGCATAATTCAAACACATATTTCAAAATTTTTGCCTTTTCTGTTTCTATCAGCTGCTTGTAAAAGTTTTTCAGATCACAAATAAGTGAAAATTCTTATGAGTAGTCTTATGCTTTGTTAGAGGTAAAAATCGAACTCAATAAAGTGCATCTATACAACTACAGTCAAAAGTCTTTAATCCAAATGTCCATAATCCAGAATGATCTATAATCCAGACCTCAAAGGTACAAACTTTATGTGCATGTGTTTATGCATGCGCATAATACGTTTACGCATGAGCATTTAATATATAATGGACGGTATAAGCTAAGCTAAAATTATCTAATTATCTATTTCAGTTAATGTTGCAGATTGCGTTGTTCCTTAATCTTCTAATTGGATCCGGCTTATTATTTTTTGCAGACTGTTAGAGCAATTTTATAAAAGTAAGCTTGAACTTTCAATTATGTCAAAAAGAATTTCCGATTCTGAAGCTGCCAAAGGATCTACAAAGTGAAAGCATGTTTTGATGTCCATCAAACAAAAAGTGAAATTGCTGCAAAAAATGGATAAAGGTATATCCTTTTGAGGTGCGTAATGAACTGGAAGTTGATCTGTCAGCACTATCCTTATCTTCCAGGCAGATGTTTTTATTTTATTTGGCTTATAATTCCTTACTAAATGTAGTATTTCATCTTGATGTACTCTCTTTGATATGATTTAAATCAAATTCCTGGTCATTATATATATCACGAATACACATCAAATAGTTTTCTGGTTGAAATTTTCTAATTTCGACTATGCGTAATGTATGCTTTATGCATGTGCGCGTTAAAAGAAATGTTTAATAAAGCAAAAAAATAAGTATTAAGCTTTTTTTTTTTTTTTTTTTTTTTTTTTTTGTAAATTTTGATACCCTTCAGATCATAATTGCTCTTTATTTCATAAATTACGATTTCATATTTTTAATTTTATAATTTCTGCGTGCCATCTAACAGATTTAAATTGATGATCTATAATCCGGAATCGCCGAAGTCCCGACGAGTTTGGATTAAAGACTTTTGACTGTATATACTTTTATTCTTTAACTCTCTCCCCCCCCGAAAAAAAAAACCTACAGTGGGAACAAAATAGAACCTTTGTGAAAGCTATAACCATAGTGTCGTATATGCTAATGCTTGTGAAAAGTGCAATTATGAACTTTTTCAGTGAAACTGATGTTAATAACAAATTGCATTCAGGAAAACCATAAGAATTAGAAAGTGAAGAACCACAAGAATTACTTGACAGAGATATTGCTTAAGCACCAGAGAACTTGGAAAATGAGCACAGATTTTTTTACTAATTAAATATATTTTAAAATGCTAAGAAGGAGGCATTTAAAAATATAAGACTGAATGATGTCTAATATAAAATTTAAGAACACCCATTTTAGAATTAACATATTTCAGCTCACATTGCAATTAACTTTTAAATAGATTTCACTCATCTTATAGCACATTTTTTTAAAAACAAGATTTTGATATTAACAACAACGACAAAAATCATACGTTTTAAATAAGTCAATTAACCTCTTACCTTAAAAAATGACATATTTCTTCTTATTTAGAAAAGTTTAGTCACAAAACCAAGCATTGAAAGGGAGAGAAATTTTTTTAGGATTAAATCTGACCTAAGAAGCTAATAAAGCAAGAGCTAAGTAAATCTATAAGTAACTAGATTTCAGATATACATAATATGTTTGTTTAAATAGTAATTTGTTTATCATAGCAAGGCATGCAACGGCTGTCTGGGTAGGAAGAGGATGCTTTCATAGAACATTTTTCTAAGGGAAACTGGCTTGTATTCATGTTACATATGGGAGGAAAAAAAAAAAAAAAAAAAGCATTCACTCAGCCAGCTTGCAGCTGATCTGAATCCAATTCCCATTATTTGGTGGTCTTATATTTTTAAGTCACTGATGACCAGGGGTACACACAGGTCACATTTCCTTCTCTTATCATCACAGATAAAATTAATCAAAATATCTTTGCCACCACTCTACAGTTACTGCAGTATTTACGAACATTATTGATTTTTAAGAAATTTCAAAACTGAATAAGATAATGCATACTAAATTTCTTTCCCACTTTTACTATAAGATCTAACGGCTAGTGCTTATAAAAATAAATAACAATAATTAGTTTAATTATAGATCTAATAATAAAGGAAAAACCTGAAATAAAACAACAGCAAATGTTGATAAAAATCATCACCTGTTGAAATATCTGTAATTCCAGCATCTTCTGTAAAAAAGGCTGCATTGAAGATGGCCTTGTTTGAACAAAAAGCTCTGGACTAAATGTAATTTTTTCACCAGGTTTAAGTTTTAAAGCATTCCAGTAACCACCAATGAGTTTTACTAATGCTTTTAAAAAAGCTCTTGCGACAGCATCACCCAGCATCTCTTGTGGATGTTTCAAGTCATGTCGCAAACACTGCAGCTGAAAAACAATAAAAGTAAAAATACAGAATATAAAGGAAACTTAGGTGCAAAGTTTTGTTCTGCATAGTATAAGATTACACTAAAATCTGACTGTAACTACCTGTTTTTACATCTTCTCATTGCCACAGAGAAGATGAAAAAAAAAATCTCTACATTATTATTATTTTTAATGAAAACTTATTTTCCTGTTTGTTTTCTTCATTGATTAGGGAAAGCATGTACAACATTTTTAATAATAAATTAATAGTATAGATAAATGTGCAATGGATGCGTGTGTATAATGGAAATTCAACTCAAGACTGCATAAAAGCAACTGTAACTCAAATAGCTAATTCTACTACCTAAATCCATTTGTAGTATTTTTATAGCACATATGTCCATAGCCATATGTACAGATCACATATTGCTTAATATATTACTTTTATTACTACTATTATTTAAAGGTTTATTTTATATATAAAATTATGAAATGAATGGTTTTAATACAATTATGCAAAACATTTTCAAAATTTTAACTTGAACAATTAGCACAATTTCCTGTTTTCCTATATCAATAACATAATAATCAAAAGCTTTACATTTGCCTTATTTATTTCAGTATGGTTTTATCCATTAATGATGTTAGAAATTTTACTAGAAGCAGAGATAATAATAAAGTAAGAACAATATTTGGGTCAATTGATATATCTCTCAATGGTACATTGTTGGAAAATATAATTATGCAAGAATATAATAAGTTGCCCTATGAAATTTTGTAGAAACAAACAAAACGTGTATGTAATTTGTTTTGGGTAAAGGATTCAGTTCTATTGGCATTTCATAACTAAAGTTGCATTACACATAATAATACAGTACAAAGTCTGTAATCCGGACTCGCTGGGACTTCGGCGATTCCGGATTAGGGGTTTTTCTGGATTATACATCATCAATTTAAATCTGGTAAGATGGCATGCAGAAATTATACAATTAAAAATATGAAACCGTAATTTATGAAATAAAGAGCAATTATGATCTAAAGGGTATCAAAATTTACAAAAAAAAAAAAAAAAAAAAAAAAACAAAAAAAGGTTATATTTATTTGTTACTTTTATTAAACATTTCTTTCAATGTAAGTTGTTTAAGTTGCTTTGTTTTTTATGCTAATACTTTCTCTTTAATTCTATAAACAGACATAATTTCTTGTTCAGTTACAAAGTTCCACTGTCTAAGTCCTGTAATTGCTGTGTCTAGAATACCAACTAACTTGTCAATCGAAATTTTTTTGTTTTCAATAACCTCTCTGCCACTTTCTTCACTATCGGAAGCGGTATTTTCTGTATCTAGACCCATACTTTCATAGACATAGATTTCACCGTCCGTTAATTGATTGATGATTGAGGCATTGTCATCGCAATGAAAAACTTCTGTTATATCATCTTCATTTATTACTGCTTCTCCACATTTCTTTACAAAATCCAATAACTGGAAAATTTCATCTTTAGTTTGCGATGTCTGAAAACCTTCAAATTCGCGGCTATCATTTTCATCGTCCTCACCATGAAATATGGTAGCTAGCCATAAATTATGCCAAGCATTTTTTAATGTATCTGGAGACACATCCTCCCAACGCAAATGCGTAAAGCATACAAAAAAAAAAAAAAAAAGTTTGTGGCTTTGAGGTCTGGATTATAGATCATTCCGGATAATGGACGTTCGGATTACAGACTTTGTACTGTATATACTTGCAACAATTCAAACAATTTTTTAAATATATATTTCATTGTTTAAGATTTTATATGACATGACTGATGTGCACAAATAAAACGTAATAAAAGTAGCCAGATAATAAGAATAACTAAAAAATAGTTAATGCTGAAAGTTATTTTGATCTAAAATTTGTTCTTTTTTAAATTAACTGAATGTGAATTCATACCTTTTTAATGCATGAATTATTTAAAATTTTTTAGTTTAAACAGTTTTATTTTAATAATTACATCAGAAAACTCTCTTTTCTAACATTACATAATTTTTTGTAAATGCTCTCCAGTCCTATTCAGAACCCTTCAATATATTTTTGTATAAGACAACAAAAAAGTTTCAATGATTGTTTAACTTAAAAATAAGAAAAAATTATATAATTAAAATATGTATGAAAATGTGAATACCTTTGGATAATGTGTGTAATAATGTGAATATCTTCAGACCAAATAATTTACTGTATATATGTAATCACACTTTTATTTGATTAAAACCAATTACATATTAATGCAAATTAATAGAAATTATTGATACATTTTTCAAGAAGTGATTAGAAATAAAGGTTTATACTTACAACATCTGAAGGTAAGGCATCAAGATCAGCAAAAGGAGTTTCAATTTTATTTTCATCAGCATCCAGAAAGACAATATCTCCCATATCAGCTGATTTCATTCTCTACAACAGAATATTTAATTTTAAAAATGTATTCCAAATGCTCATGACCACCCTTATATAAAAATTCAACTATATGTATCCTTCCAGAATCTAATAATCAAAATTCCAATAAGCATATACAGGTACACATTTTCATAAAACTTAATTATTACTAAAACTGATCAAAACCAACATATACAAGTCATCTAAGCACTGTCCTAAAAACAATGTAAAACAACTGCAATTTATTCCCTAAATTTGTAGTTTCATATAGAATGGAATTTTAAGCAATGGATGTACCATTATACAGATGAAACATTAAACCATCATTACAGTTTTTCATACAATGAAGAGAGCTTTTCTATAATGTCAATTCACAATTAAGTTTTCCTAATTTTAAAGCTGAAATGCTTATTCTTTAAAGTTACATTTACAATTACTTCTAGCTTAACATATCAAGCTTGTTAACTCTAATTTGTTTTTATTTAATATATTTATGTAGTACAAACGAAGGTGAATAGTCCAAACTTTTGACAAAATTGCTACCAAAAGACATGAATTAGGTTTCAGTTAGCAAGATTTGGTGAACATGAAGAATTACTGAACTAAAACAGTGATGAGTATTTGACGTACCGTATTTGACGGCATATAAGGCACACTTTTTTCCCTAAATTTGGTTTCAAAAAAGTTACCTGCGTCTTACACGTGAAGGACACAGGTTAACTTTCAATACTGAATGCTGTTTTTAGCCCGGATAAAGGTCTAAACACACATAACTTTTTCTACATCTGCCATAATTATTTTGTGCATGCGTGAAATATCTGTCGCCAAAAAGCGCCAAAGCTTGAAGCTGATGTCGAAGTTCGAACAGGTTCGACGGTCACGTTATGTCTATGGAGCCTTTCCTTCTTTACATAAGACTTTCTTTGACTCAGCTGACACACGTGTCGGTATCGGTGCTATTCTGTATAAACGTGTCGGTATTGGTGCTACTCTGTATAAACGTGTCGGTATCGGTGCTTAAAACTATTTGTTAAAAAAAAAAAAAAAAATACCCTGGAAAATATGACTACAGGAAACAAGAGATTAAGCTATACAATTCAGTATAAACTAGGAGTGTTAAACTACGCCAAAATGCATGGAAACAGAGCAGCAGCAAGGCATTTCGGTCCACCACCTACCGAAAAAATGATATGTACTTGGCGACTGCAGGAAGATCAACTGAAGACTGCTAAAAAACAAAAACATAACCTTCGATGCCCAGCTCCATCTTGGCCTGAACTTGAAAATGCCGTAAAAATGTGGGTGATAGATAAGAGGAAATCTGGAATAAGTGTTTCAACCAAAATGATAATCAATGAGGCCAAAGGATTTGCAGAAAAACATCGAGGGAATCAGAACTTTTCAGGGTCTGAGGGCTGGTGCTACAGGTTCATGAAAAGGCAAGGCTTATCAATGCGCACAAAAACAACTATTGCACAGAAAATGCCAGCAGATTATGAAGAAAAAATACTAGCATTTCATAGGTTTGTTATAAATGCACGCAAGAAAACTTCTTTTGAGCTCAGTCAAATAGGAAATATGGATGAAATTCCACTCACATTTGATGTATCATCCAACAAGACTGTGAGTATTAAAGAGTCTAAATCAATAACCATAAAAACCACACATCACGAAAAAACCTAATATACGGTAGTTCTAACATGTTGTGCTGATGGCACAAAACTACAGCCGTTTTTCATATTCAAAAGAAAAAACTCATCCGAAAGAAAAATTTCCAACGGGTGTAATTGTTCATGTTCATCCGAAAAGCTGGATGGACGAAGCTGGAATGAAACTGCGGTTACAGAACATACGGGCTAGGCGACCTGGTGGACTCTTAAGAAAACCCTCTCTTTTGGTTTTGGATCAGTTTAGCACCCATAGAACTGAAACCATAAAGAATAAAGTGAAAGAATTAAAACCCCAGATAGCTGTCAAGTCCTGGTGGACTGACTAGCCAATTGCAGCCTTTAGATGTATCGATGAATAAGCCATTTAAGGAAAAAATGTGAGAACGATGGAACAAGTGGATAGGAGAGCCACATCCTGCCCTCACACCCTCAGGTAGAATGAAGCGGCCCTCGATTTCACAAGTGTGCGAGTGGGTAAAAAGACGTAAAGGCTAAAGTAATTGTTAAGTCCTTTAAGAAGTGTGGAATCAGTAATGCTCTTAACGGAAGACGACGCATTATTCGAAGAAGGTGATACTAGCGATGATGGAAACAGTAGTGATGACGATATTCTCGTTTTCGATGATGATGATAGTGAAAAGGATTTTTATGGTTTTGAAAGTGATTAAAGTCTAATTTCATAATATGCAACGTTTTCCTTGAATCTGTGTTTTTTGTTGTTTCTGCTTTATTTTGTATTATGCTTGCTTGCCGTTCATTCATTTATTCATTATTGAAATTTACATATCATGTTCAAAATAGCTTGCCGTTTGTTAATTTTACTTAATAAAAATATGTTTGGTAATTGCATTCAATGATTGTTTAATTGGCTTTTACGAAAGGTGAGAACTAAAAGAAACCACATTTTAAGTTATTGTGGTACCGCGCTGTCGCACGGACTATTGAACCTTTTCCCCCTTGTGTGTGGCCTTCTAAATAAGGGTGTGTCTTATGTGCCATCAAATACAGCAATTTTCTTCATACAAGTCAACAGCAAGCAAACAAATTTGACAACAAAGAACTTATTGAAAAAAAATTCTTCCAAAAGCAAAAAGAATTTGCAAAAGTTCTAGAAAACATCTTGCAGTACTAAAGAATTGAAGCAATAACTTTAATGATGCTACTAGTAAGCCTGAGACAGGCAGTGCTTTCAGGAACTTCTCCCTGATGTTCGTGAAAAATGACAAATCTTTATTTTGTTTATCAGGATGAATTTCTTGCAGATGCTTCTGAAACAAGAAGGTTTCACTGCCTCATGAAATAACACTTGGTTACAAAGTAAACAGGTGGGTAGTTGCATGTTCAATGGTGAAGGAATAAATTTGAACCTCAAATACGTAGAACTGTATTGACGACACTTTTTATAAACTGACATCATTGGCAGCAGCAAAATATGATGATAGAAAGATAATTGTTTCTCAAAATTAATAATTCATGACCATGATAAAGAACTAATAAGCACAATTACCTAGCCGACTGGAAAAATAAACAATGAATGCAAATCGAAACTGAGGGATAAAAACAGAAATGAAGCGAACGGAAAGCAACAGAAGAAACATGGGGTAAATCAAACATACTGAAAGGTCGCTCAACACATGCATTGTGCTGGTTGGGATCGGAGAAAACCATAGCATCGAGTTCTTCAAAGTCACCATACTTGGAATACAAATTCGTCTCACCCAAAACTGCTCAAAACATACCCACAACAAGTTCACTGTACCTAAGCATCTACCCACAACCCCTGTTGAGAACCAATGATGTAGGTCTTCAAATAGTATATTATACTCAAATTTTACCCCTTTTATAAAACTCCTAGTTATAGTTTTACTAGTAATAAATTAATTAATTGGACTTCTAACATATCCAAAAAAGTGTTTAATAACACTGATTAGCCAAATACATCAAATTAAGAAAACGTGTACACATACATTTAATATTCAAGATGAAATTCTACTGCTTACTAAGATTCTAACAAATAATCAGGTGCCCAGTAAATTTATTAATTTTTGTTTAAAAAAAGCAGGCACTGAGTATTCTGTGTAGTCTCTTTACTGGTAGGTATATGATAATATTATCCTTAAACATCTTGGCAGATAATGTTGGATGACTATCAGTTAAAAGATTTGTAAGTTTCTGCAATTATATTTGTAACTATTGTAAATGATGTAATATACTAGTTTCTATTTGAGCCTCTTTACTTTTATTAACTAAATGGGCCAATTTCCTTTTTTAAGAATTCTTTGAAGTCCAATACCAGTGAATATTTTGTTTTTCTATATCTATTTTTAGTTTTCACATCTCTACCCAGAAATAAATTATTTTAATTTGTTTGTTACTGTTTGAAGGCAATTTAGCTTAAGCAAGATTTTTCTTACCAACATTTATGGTAACCCATACACCCCTATACTAGGTTTTTCTCACCTTCCTAAAACAGCTTCCAACAAGTTGCTATTTTACACCTACATTTCTTTAACACCACTCTTTCTTTCAAGTTACAGCAAACCATAATAGAGTTCCAATACAGTTAGCATCGAACTACGCTCCCATTATGCTGTCCACTTAAATTTAGCAAACATGTACATTAAATTTAATTCATTTTTGGCCATCTTCCAAATATAATGTATTATTTTTGTTGATATAAAAGATTCTTTTATTCTTATAAAGATGTTACAATTTTATTTTTATAAAATTAGAAAATTTAGGTTTATTATTATTTCTTATTACTTTCATATTTCTTTTTATATTTTATTTTGTTTCTTAATTGGCTAGTTGTTTTTGAAACTACTGTTTGAAATTATTTTAATTATGTGAAACAGCGAATGTGTCCGGGAATAGTCTTCTTCTGCTTTAATATTTAAATCTTTAATTAAGTTTTTTCCTTGATTTAAGTTATGATATACTTTTTTTTTGACATTTTTGATTTCTTTTTGTTTTCTTTTCCAGATATGATATTTGGTTTCTATGATTATTTCTTCCATTTTAAGACAATGAAACACATTCACTTCTATTAATTATTGTGGTTTAATTGGAAACTGATCTGTTTTCCATGAAAAGACAATTTCCAATTAATAGCAATAATTGTTCCAATTTTTGCTTTTTATTTATTGTATTTTTATGAAAGTGGTTCACATTTTATTTTTTGCCCAAATATTACCTTTAGTGAATGATTTCCTTTTAATAGACCAGAGTTTCTTAAACCTTTTTTCAGTCCCGACCCCTTTTTACCACTGAAATTTTTTCGCAACCCCCAGGACTCCATAATATTTACAAAAATTTTGTGGGACCCCATAAGTATTGCGGAAATCCAACACACACGTGAATGAAACTGTCAGTTTTTTCACTTGCACTGTAATACTATTGCAGTTTTAGGTCATCAACTTTAATTTTTAATTTTAAGACATAGAACAATGTGAAAGTTTTAAATAAATAACAGACAAAATGACAGCACCATGTGCAAAGCAAGGAAAATGAATGTTTATATTATAAAAAGAATGTGTCATAACGCTTTTGTTTTTTTCTTTGCCTGTATTGAGTTATCTTTATCTAGTATTTTCAAATACAATGTTTAAAAATATTTGCTAATTGTAAAATTGTTATAATAAGTTAAAGAAATATCAAACTGCTAAAATTTTTGGCAGCTCCCTGTTGCAGATCCTGCAACCCCCAGTTTAAGAAACCCTGTATTAGACAATTCTTGAAGTTGAATGAATCTTTTCATAACAAAGGACATTTATAATTTTACTTAACTATTTCATTAATTTTCACGATTTCTTTTCCTATCAGATAATCCAGAAATACTTAATATATATAAACTAAGTAAACTGGAAAATTATGTAAATAGGATTTAAAAAAACACATCCTTTGCAAATTGCTGCAAAGATTTTATTTTTAAATACTGATTAATTAATTAAGGTTCCCGTTCTTTTAGAAGCAAAGGCAAGTTACAGAAACACTTGTCTGAGCCCAATGTTTTGTCACGGTACTAAAGTCACCAGATTTCAGCTCCACTGGGAACATCTGGGATGTCAAGCAACATGTTTGTAGGGTAAAGGAGTTTTACATTTCTAAATATGACAAAATTCTAGATCATTCTGCAGAAAGTACAGTGCTCAATCTACAGAATACTGCCACATACTAATGGAATCTTTTTTCTAAAATTCTGCACTGCCTTAAAAGATGTCCCAAATATTAGGTTGGTATACACTCCAACCTAATATTTAGGAGCTCCTAAACATTCAGTTTATTTAGTGGCAGCATACTTCAGTTAGTCAAATACATTTTCAACTGTCAGTTATCAAATGCATTTTATTAATCCATCTTCTGCATTATTTAGCCAGTTTACAAGTGTACTGTAGTTGGAAGAAACAGTGATGTTACTTTTCTTGGATATAACTTATATTTCTATTTGGAATACAATAAAACTCAGCTGCCTGACATTCTATATGTCAAAATATTTAATATGGCTAATGAATCATTGAAAGTAAGTCTTCTCTCATAGTAATCCATGAACGCATCATATCCATAAGCAAATCACTGTTACATATTTTGCAATAAAAAGTAATTTAATCCAAACCATAAGAAAATCTTAATAAGATAAATCTGAACATTTTAATTCAAGTAATAATATGAAAAATTATAACTAACACAACAAGAATACTAATATTATCATACCGACAATGTTGCTGAAGGAATACCAATCAAAAATGGCATAGGGGCACTAAAAATAAAGCAAAACACACATTTTTACACAATACATTTTGAAATTTTTTTAAAATACAGAATTCAACTCAAAATAAATATTTTTAAAAGATACAGCTGGCAATATAATATTTAATTACTATTCAGATGAGCTATATTTAATTTAGTTTTTAACAATAATAATAATAAAAATGTTTTTCTAACTAAAAAAATATAATGAATGATTTATTACATATGCTACTTATTATTTATAAACATCAATTCTGTTATATATATGTATTTATAAATACTTGTATATGTATATACGCAAAAAATTAATACAAGTAAATATTCAACTTTAAATCAAGCAGTATTATGTTATTACTGAAATGTTATTTTCTACAGAAAAATAGGACGATCTAATGTAATATTTTAAAATAGCTTCTTGATATTAAAATCTTCAAATAACTAAATGTGAAAATCGTTTTTAATTTACACAAAAAATATGTACGTATGCATACATAAATATTTCTCCAATAAAATTCCTGAGAAATTTCAGTACTTACGGAAAATCCCATCGATAAAAAAAAACCGTTCATCCCATTTTTGCCTATTAAAGAAAAGGTGGCAAACTACGTGATTTTTCACCCAAAATGAAAAAAAAAAAAAAAAAAAAAAAAAATCTTCTTCAAACCCGCTGGGTTTGGTGTAACATTGATTACACGTGCTAGTTATTATTGAGTACACTCCTTTCCCCGCCTCTATCACACATTTTTTTGGGAAAAAAAAAAAGATTAAAATTTGGGACCTGACAACTACAGAAGAGCATGCTGTTGAATATTTCCAAAGCTATGGAATCTTACTGGCCTAAAAAAATGTGTTAATGGCCATGAAATGGTGCTTTATTTAAAAACTGAGAAGCGATAATAAATTTAAAAAAAAGATAATAAATGCATTTCTTAAAAAAAATCTGAAAGGCTTTGGATTTTAAATTACGTCCAAAGGGGTGTTTTTTTAAGGTTTTGTGTGTTACCTTTATTTATTAAATGTCACATTCTTTGAACTTAAGCCATAAAATTTAGTTCAATAGCAATGTCGCAAAATAATTTTAAAATGAGCATATCTTTAGGATTTCAATACGTAGTTCCACGAGCTGGAAATAAAAAGGTTCCCCCATAGAGTGTTGCCATTGCTCGCTTTTAAATCGTTGAGTTTGTTACTCAAAAATTCGTTAAAGTTTTACAAAATATGAAATCGATCATAAAACAAATTCCAAATTTCAAATGTGATCTTCCACATGCCCATACTCATAAGAGGATTACATCATTCACAATTCGATTGCTCTATGTAGTTTTATCACAATGCGAGAAATATACATGCATTTATGCAGATTTTTCATTATTTAATTTTTCAAACATAATGCAGGACTCTAACATTTGGCGGCAACAGTTTGAAAAGTGAAACTGACATTTATAGTGATTCAACGCAAAACGAAAACAATAGTCCTTCACAAAGCCCCTTTGGACTAATAATAGAAATTTTTAATGAAAAATTAAATATAAATAAATGACAATATAATAAATTCGGAAAAAAAAATAAGAATAAAACTTTTTTTCTTGTATTTAGTAAACAGGTTTTTTTGGGGGGAGGGGGTTGGCGCAGTCTCTTGTGGTCAACGGGATTTTCCGTAAGTACCGAAATTTCAAACAACGCAATAACAAATGTAATACTTGAAAATATACCTTAAATAATCTGTTAGATGTTTTGGAAGAACTGGAATGAAAATATGCTGCCTAAAATAAAATAAAAACAAACAAAAGTATTTCAACATTTCTCTGATTATAATTTTTGCTTATGAATACTGAATTTCTGACTTTTTACGAGGGGAAAAATTTTAATCCCTCCTTAAAAAGTAAATTAACAAAAACTTATTTGAAATATTTTTTGATGTACTTAATGAGAATAAATATCAGGGTTAAAAGAACAATATTATGCATTACAAATGAATTTCTACAAATATTCATTAAACTTTGAAACATAATAAAACAATAATAAAAAATATATCATACCAATGCATCGGATATATTAAAGCATTTGCAGCTTGAACGCAGGCACTGAGCCTACTTAATTTCTTAGATGTGACTAAAATCCTTCTTTCATGCATCATGCTAAAAATATGAAAAATGATGCATTTTAAATAGAAAAATAATTTAAATAATTAAAGTACTTGAGGTTTTGTAATAATCTAGAGCAGTGATCTTTAAACTAGGGGTTGCTAAAAATTTTTTCTGGGTTGCAAGCTTGCTGAAAAGCTGCAATACAGGGGTTCAAACATATTATAAAATGCATGATCCTAACAATCTGAGGTTGCAATATGGCACTAGCACCTAAAATGAACTCTAAATTCAAAAAAGTTCGGGAACCACTGGTCTAAGCTTTCAAATATTTTTTAACACATTGGCACCGGCATGACCCACTGGTGGCCCATGCTAGATTGTTCCGTGGGGCGGCATGCATCACTGATGGGCCACATTTTGTATATAAAAAAATACGTAGTACAAAATGTAATTTATTGATTTAACATTTCTACCTTATAATCAAACATTTAACACAAAATACATAACTTCTAATTTAATCAATACATTAAATATAACAAAATATAACTACTTATGTTACCGATGGAATTTTTTAAAACATTTTAAACAAAGTACAGGCTTATCCGGACAACTGCTACAAAAGGGCATTACTTTTTTAATTTTGTTTGTGGTGTACTGTGTACCTTTTAAATTTGTTAAGCGTTTGTAACACTCTTTACATCTTTTTCTCATCTTCCTTGCGGATCCTTGGTGCAAACTTAAAAAATGTTTTTTTCCTTCTACTTACTACAGTCAAAAGTCTTTAATCCGAACTCGTTGGGACTTCGGCGATTCCGGATTATAGATCATCAGTTTAAATCATGTAAGATGGCATGCAGAAATTATAAAATTAAAAATATGAAACCATAATTTATGAAATAAAGAGCAATTATGATCTAAAGGGTATAAAAATTTACAAAAAAAAAGCTTAATATTTATTTGTTTACTTTATTAAACATTTCTTTCAATGCACGCATGCGTAAAGCATACATTACGTATAGTCGAAATTAGAAAATTGCAACCAGAAAACTATTTGATGTGTATTTGTGATATTTATAATGGCGAGGAAATTGATTTATATCATATCAAGGATGGAGTATATCGAGATGAAATACTACATTTAGTAAGGAATTATAAGCCGAATAAAATAAAAACATCTGCCCTGAAGATAAGGATAGTGCTGACAGATAAACTTCCAGTTCACTGAGTGCCGCAATGTCCCCCCCCTTCAGAGCAGCGTGAAACTGATAAACAGATTTTGGAATGGTTACGAGACCAAAATAATGCATTTATCCATTTTTTTGCAGCAATTCCACTTTCTGTTTGATGGACATCGAAAAATGCTTTCGCTCTTGTAGATCCTTTGGCAGCTTCAGAATTGAAAACTCTTTCAGACATAATCGAAAGTTCAAGCTTAATTTTTATAAAATTGCTCTAAGAATCTGCAAAAAATAATAAGCTGGATCCAATTAGAAGATTAAGGAACAGCCCAATTTGCAACATTAACTGAAATGCCTAGAATCAGTAAAAATAATTTTAGCTTAGCTTATACCGTCCATTATACATTAAATGCGCATGAGTAAACGTATTATACGCATAGCTTTGAGGTCTGGATTATGGACGTCCGGATTAAAGACTTTGACTGTATTAATTCTTCACTGGGGGGTGGGGGTGGATTCTCAACATTCTTCAATAGATAATCAATAATTTTTTCTCTAAATTTTAAAATTTGGTTACACTTGGTTCTCCACTTTTTGTGGATGTACCATGAATTTACTAAAGATGTCCTGCATATTAGTTCCATGACAAATTTTTGATACCATTTTACCATTTTCCGTAAACATTTATAATAAGAACACATTTGATTAGATATATCAACTCACTTTTTAGTACTATTGCAAGAAAAAAATGGTATCTGGTTTTAATTTATCATCTTTTCCATGAATAATGGCAGAATTGCGAGATCTCGAAGTGATTAACATGCACACGGGTCTTTTGTCGGTCTACTTTAAAAATTTCACGCCGTTCCGGTTTTCAAGAGATATAATGTCGCCCCATTTCTGTTTTTGCTTTGTCTGTTGGCAGTAGAAATTTTCTATTCATTTTGACTATACCACAAATATATGTTCTTTTAGTGAGAAGATCTTCAGCTAAAGGAATACTTGTATAAAAACTGTTGGTAAATAAAATTCGGCCCTTGAATAATAGATCTCCTATCAATTTCATGACTACATCATGAAAATGTGTTTTTACAATTCTCGTTTAATTTTTTCTGGAATAAATTTGCATATTTTATGTATATCCGCCTGGAACGCCGAGTTTGTACAATTTTATTCCGTACTTGTGCTGCTTACCTGGTATATATTGACAAAAACTAAGGCGTCCTTTCCACGGAACCATGCTTTCGTCAATTACTATATTTTTACCGGGTTTTAGTGCATCTTTGAATGTATGAAGAATTTTATCAACTACATTTCAGTGTTTATGTAACCGATCCTCGATTCTAGCCGTTTCATTATCGGAAAAGTGCAAGTATTTCAATATTGCTAAGAATCAATAGCGTTTCATTGCCTTCTGTATACGCGCATTCACATACATCCCCTTTTTGGACCAATACAATTGAATTTTGGGTACCTGCACTACACCCATAATAAACAAGATATCAATTCCCTTTTTGTAACGGAGTTCCATGCTTGTTGATGTTGTCTCCTGCCATATGCCACATTCACTATGCCCTGTTCAGCGAACCTATTGGTCTCTTCAACGATGATCTCCAATATCTTGTCCATGAAGAATAATTTATATAATGCAACAGGATCGTCGCAGTCCGGTCTCTTCGATCAGTAGATCTTCCTCTGATGCAGATTTTTCTACTATTTTCCGCCATTCTGCGTCATCATCTTGGTCAAATACATCAGACGACCAAACTTCTTCCTTCATGGTATTTCTATCAGTTGCCATGTATGATGATGATGAAAGTATTCTATTTCTTTGTCTCTTTCGTATGATTCCAGATACGGATTCATCAGACTAATAACTGAATTCCATATTCCCAGTATCTAATATTTAGATGGGCAAAAATTAAAAATGAAAAATGTTAATCGCCTTTTTAGAAGAAAAGAAACTTTTTACTACCGTAACACTTACCGGAAGAAATGTGTGCTCAGATGATTCGTTATGTCAGAACTACTGACCTTGCACCTCAGACAGAATACTTGCACACTAACAGTACTCACTCTCTCTTGCCATCAACTCTAAACTTAGTAAAACTAAATACTATTGGTACAATAAATACAGGAAACCAAATACTATTGGGGCCTCAAGTGCCTGGCCACCTGGAAACGTCAGTTGTAGGTTCGATGAAATCACCGCTTGCACTCAACATAATTTACGACAAATGCATGACTATTTCTTTTTCCTAGTATGACATTGAACATATGCATCGTTTGCCTATTGACCGGGCTTATGGCCATTAAAAACGAATTACGGTTTTTCCCAATTCATGCGACTGGCCATCGTGGGTCCTATCAGCAGGCCAGACCGCGTAGTCCATATTAAGAATTTGGGAATTCGATTTATTTGATCCTTCGTTGTATTAGGTGCAAGCCTTAAAAATCTAATTTGGTGGCCCGCAGCCTCACGGACCCCGTGCAAACGTATCTGAATATAAAAATATCGAGCCGGCATCAATGTGTTAAGGAAGTATTAGCTATACAGCATTTTGTAGATAATAATGGAGCTTAATATGCATGCATCTATAAAAAGTCAGTTATGCAAACCTTTACTTTCCACCTAAATGCAACTAAACTTTATTTAGGCCTATACTTTCATTTAGCCTGAATCTCCGCGACAAAAAGGTTTAAATTACCAAAGAGGCATATGGCAGGAGACACCCTAACAAGCATTGAACTCATTACAAAGTGAATTGTATCTGTTTATTATGGGGTAGTGCAGGTACCCAAACTTCAATGGTATTGGGTCCAAAAAAGCTGTATTTGAATGCACTGCAAATGCCAACGCGATTGATTCTTGCACTATTGGCATACTTGCACTTTTCCGATAATGAAACGCTCGAACGCGGTCGGTTCATAAACTCGAAATGTAGTGAAAAATTCTTCGCACATTCCAATATTGATTGCAGAAAACCCGGTAACAAAAAGAATTGACGAAAGCATGGTTCCGTGGAAAGGACGCCTTAGTTTGGGTATTTTTATATTTGAAAACCCAATTTTGTAAAATTTAAGAAATCTAACTTTTTCTACAGTCTACAGTTAAATTTAATAAAAGTTTATACTCATTCTAAAAACTAAAATGCAAAACATTTTACCTTCACAAGGCAAAAATTGACCAAGAACATTCATTTTAGTTTTATATCATGCTCCAGGTTCATACACAAATTGAAGATAAAAATACTTGGAACAAAACTCAGCAATGGAACATCAATTAAGAAAAATGTTTTGATGTTGATAAACTAAGTTGGGGGTTAGCAACCTTTTGGTCACTGAGGGCCCAAAATAAAATTTAAAATTCTTAGTAAGCATCGCCCATTCAAATTTTATCATTATACATCAAACTTCACATTGCAAAATAGTTTTGTTTAAAAGATATAACTTTATTGAACTGAATAACAAATAACGTAATACAAATACAAAGTAATCCTTTCTGCAAATACTCAATCTATCTGGGAGAGAACCCCTTTTAATCTTCTTCGTCAAAACCCAGTCACTCATCTACAGAGCTAAATGAAGAGCACTTGAAATTTCACACACTTAAATGTAATTCACAAAAACTGGAAAGTATAAACAAACTCAGCTGTGATCGTCAATGACAGCATTCACATTTACTGAACTCTAATTAACTGTAATATTCTGACACTTCGCATGAAAACAATAAAAGATCACATAAATCCGAATAGACGAAATTTCCAGAAATGAATGTAATCAAAAACTGAATATCGACATATAAGACGCAGAGTCAGTGGAAAAGATGCATCCCGTTTTACAGACCTATTTTCAAAGAAAAAAAAGTGCATCTTA